TAAGCTTAGGGATGGGCATGTCTCCTTCACTGGTAGGCTACATCGTCCGTGCGCGAGGGGAGGAGGGGGGGCTCACTGCGCTGTTTGTCTCCCGCTCCGTGCTCAAAGTCACACCAGGCAGTCTATGCAACTGACGGGTTCCACGAAAATTAAGATAATAAATAAAACATTAGATTTAAATAAAAATAAAACTCCCATATCAACCCACGGGCCGGATGTGATGTTCAATCGGGCCGGGTCCGGCCCACGGGCCGTAACCATGGCATCCCTGCTCTAAAGCGTTGTGGGATGGCCCTTTGTTGAACATACTTTGTTGTTATTTTTATTTAGCTTTTTCAGTCTAGCCTACTTATAAATGTATAGATCTGATACATAAGTTGGTTCAAGGTTGGATAATTGAATATGACGTTTCAAATGGCTGGATTACTTTTCTGCAACTGAGCCCATGCTGCTCTTCACCTGCTTTTTTTTTTTGATGGAGATGGATTTCTATCTCAATGTACTCTTTGTCGTTTTGCCTCCTGGCAATGTCTTTTTTGTTATGTTGTGTGTTGACCCCTTCTTTTTTACCCTTCTCCCTTTATGGCATTGATGAAAATATTTTTCAGACTACATCTTTACCCCTCCCCTTAATCCATAATTTAATCATGCCTGTTATACCCCCAGTAGCAATTAGATGGTGTGGAACAATGTTAACTTAATTTCATGGAATGTAAATGGGATAAATAATAAGGTGAAAAGTTATAAAATTTTAATGCATCTGAAGTCTCTTGGTTGTAATATTGCAATGATTCAAGAAACACATTTGAATGAGGTAGAATCCCTTAGATTGAAACAAAGATGGGTGGGACAGGTTTTCTTCTCACCTGGTATGATCAGAAATGCAAGGGGCATGTGCATTCTTATTGCTAAAAGAATTTCCTTTCAATTAAATGAATTGTTTACAGACAAAAAGGGGAGATTTTTGATTTTATCAGGCACCTTGAAAAATGTAAAATTTGTACTGGTAAACATATATGCTCCCAATACTGGACAAGTAACCTTTTTAACATCTCTCTGTCCATTATTATCAAAGTTTTCAGATTTACCCATGGTCACTGGTGGAGATTTTAATCTAGTGCTGGAGCCAGAAGTAGACAGATCAAATCATCCTCTTCCTTCTGATAGATCCCTCTCTTCTGCCTTTAGTGAATTTCCAAGCACTTTGGGACTGGTTGATGTTTGGTGTATGCTAAATACGGTCTCCCGGGAATACACTTTTTATTCTAAAATCCATAATTCTCATTCTAGAATAGATCACTTTATCATATCAAATCACATGCTTGAGAATGTCATTAACTGTCAAATTCAGAACATTATCATATCTGATCATGCCCCAGTGGTACTCTCTATTGTCCTTGCAGATAGACAAGCAATTAAACGTACATGGAAGTTTAATAATTTTCTTCTTAGAGATGAGGAATTTGTGTCTCTTATTAAGAACAGGATCTCTGAATTCATTACTTTAAATGAATATTCTGTCCCATCTATACAAACAGTGTGGGAAGCATTTAAAGTAACTTGCAGAGGATGGATTATCAGTTACTCAACTGCCAAAAAGAAACAAAGAATAGAAAAGAAACACAAACTGCAGATATTGCTTAAAGATCTGGAATGTAAACATATGGAGAACCCAAAAGATTTGAAATTGAGAATTGAGAAAAGAATTATTTTTAGTAAAGTCTGAACTTCAAACCATTATTCATAAGGAAACTGCGTTCGCATTATATAAGTTGCTAAGGAAAACCTTTGAATCAGGTGATAAAGCTGACAGGATGTTAGCATTAAAATTGAAACAGTTAGAGAATAATCAGGTGATATCATCAATTAGAGGGAATGATGGATCAGTCATCAGGGATACAGAGGGTATAAATGAGGCATTCAAACAATACTATGCCAAGTTATACACTGCAGAACGTGAATCAAAAAGCTCAGAAATGGAAGAGTTCTTCACTGATTTAAACCTTCCCACTATTCAGGGGTATGACGTATCAGTGTTGGAAGCACCTATTTTAGAAAGTGAGATACAACAGGCTTTAAAGGAACTAGCTTCAGGAAAATCCCCTGGTGAAGATGGTTTTAGTATAGAATTTTACAAATGTTTTCAAGGTGAATTATCCCCTCTTCTCTGTAAAATATATAATGACAGTGTAGAACACCAGGAAATGTCTGCATCCATGCGTTTTTCTAATATTTCACTTTTGCCCAAACCAGGGAAGGATCTTTTGGAAATTAATAATTGGCGCCCGATTAGTATCCTTAATAATGACTATAAAATTTATGCAAAAATCTTGGCTTTGAGGTTATCCAAAGTTGTTCCTTCTCTGATTCATTTAGATCAGACTGGTTTTGTGCAGGGGCATCTATCTTTAGACTTTATCACATTGTCTATAAAGCAAGCTCACTCTGTATTCCAGCTGTGGCTGTGTCACTGGATGCAGAGAAAGCTTTTGACAGAATAGAGTGGTCTTACCTATTTTTTACGCTGTCTAAATTTGGCTTTGGTCCAAATATTTTAAAATGGATGAAATCTTTGTATAAAGGCGCCATGTTTTCTGTAAAAACTAATGGTATTCTTTCTAAACCTTTTGGTCTTACTCGCTCTACACGCCAGGGCTGTCCAGTCTCTCCAATTCTTTTTATTTTAGCTTTGGAACTCCTGGCATCCGCTATACGTAGCAACCAAAAAATAGAGGGCATTAAAATAGGAGGTTATGACTTTAAATCCAGTTTATATGCAGATGACATTTTATTAATATTAAGTAAACCTAAGCAGTCTATTTCATCAGTTTTAAGGCTTATCAATACATTCAGTAATTTTTCTGGTTATAAAATAAACTGGAGTAAATGTGAGGCAATACCCCTTAATTGTAATACTTTTTCTTCAGACTTGGGTAATGTACCATTTTTGTGGAAACCGATGGGAATTAAGTATTTAGGTATTATCATCATAGCCCCTATTTCTAAAATCTTTGAACTGAATGCACCTATTTTATTGAGGAAAATAAAAGATAATATAAACAAAATGGTCCTCTCTGCCAATTTCTCTGTGGGGGAGGGCTGAGGTGCTGAAGATGAATATTCTTCCAAGATTGTCATTCTTAATGGCAGCCGTACCCATGCAGTCACCATCAAGCTGGTTTTAAGAATTAAAATCTTTGTTCTCGTCTTTTTTATGGTGTAATAAGAAACCTAAAATCAGCCTGAGGAAACTTTTCTTGACAAGACAAGGGGGGGGGGTTTGTCTGTGCCAGACATTTACCAATATTATCTATCTTACAATGCTAGATATCCTATTGCATGGGCTTATGATAACCCTAATTCAATAGGAAGTTGGGATTGGCTGGAGAGGCAGATCATCACTGGTCTTGACAATAAGATTTCTTTGGCTTCTTTATGGTTTTATCCAAATCCTTCTGCAAAACTTGACAACCCAATTATGATTTTTTCTTGTAATATTGCTGAAGAAATTCATAAAAGGTTAAAAATCACAGGAACCTCTCTCCCTTCTTGCCCTTTATGGCACAATCCTTTATTTTCAGCAGGAGGTAAACCATTAGTTAACACCATGTGGCATAGTTCTAACATCAAGTATTTGGGAGATATAATAAGTGATAGGAAAATTGTTCAATTTTGTAATCTTAAGGAACAATATTTCCTAGATGACACCTCTTATACAGAGAAGGACGTAGACAATAAGTTATGGGACATTGTTGGCAGGAAAAGTCAGGTCTCTAGCATATATACACTCTTGAGCACTTCTGCAGCTCAGACTAACTCACCAACACAACTTTGCTGGGAGAAAGACATGGGGACCCCTCTTGCAACAGCCAGCTGGCAGAGAATATGGAATACTTCTATAATATCAAAATGTGTCCAATATAGAATTATTCAATTGAAAATCTTGCATAGGGCATATATTACCCCTTTAAAATGTAATACAATTAATCCTAATATCTCAGACAAATGCTGACATGGATGGGCACCCTGATGCACTGTTTGTAGGAATGCGCTGCTGTGAACTCCCTCTGGTAAGAGGTAACAAATGCTCTCTCAGAGATCCTCCAGGTTGTTGTCAATAAAAGTCCCACTTTGTGTATACTAGGAAATAAAATAGATGAATTACCTGCAAAGAAAATGAGATTTGTAACACTGGGTTGTCTCGCTGCTAAACAAAAAATTTTTATGAACTGGAAGATAAGAACTCCAAATTGATTCAGTTTAAGCAGTTGGTTGGAAGAATTTATTGATTTAACTGGGATGGAAAGAGCAGCCGCTACACTGAGGCACCTTGATCTGGACCTGGAGGGTTTGTGAGACACAATCAGGTTATATTTGAACTCTATACTGGATTATGTGTAAATGGTATTGTTTCCTCTTGATCTTTTGTTGGAGAAGAAAAAAAAGAAAAAAAAAGAAAGGACATATGTATTGATGTAGCTAGTTGTTGTATTTATTGATGCCAAGCCCTCCTCCCCTAGGTTTTGTTTGTTGTTTGGTTTGTTTTCCTTTTTTGGAGTATGTGTATGTATTTGTTTTGTATTGTATTTTATAACAATAAACTTTAAATAAAAAAAAAATAAAAAATATATATGGTCAATGGTCACAATGATTTGTGTGTTATTGGTTCAAATAGATTGTGTTTGCTCCAGATTGCAAAAGGTCTGATCATATTTTTAGACAAATGTAAACATAAAGTTCACTGACTTTTTCTTGGTAAACAAAGAGTGGCACACAAGCTGTATGACGGTGACACAGCAGCAACAGGTCATAACCACAAGTGAGAAATGCCAGTGAAAAAGCAGCAATACACAAGTCATACAATAGTCAACAGTGACATGCCACTGAGAATTTCCATGTCACTTGAAACATGTGTGGTATACACATCAGCCCCTTTCAATGTTGGTGCTGCTCAACCACCACGAGGACAGAGTGGGAGGTGAGAAGAAAGATGAACTCACCAGTTCAGGCACTGAGGCTGGCCAGATGACCTGGTTCAGCTTACCCAGGAACCACGCCAGACGCACATTCCTAGAGATCCGATACTCCTCCTTCATCAGCAAGTAGATCTGGTCTGCCTCCTCCACCTGATAAAGAGAAAAATACACAGAGAATTCAAGAAGTATTCACACCCCTTCTCTTTTTGCATTTTACTATTCTATACTGATAACATTGCAGTTTTTGCCCATCAGTTTACACTCAATGATCTATGAAGACAGAGTGATCATGGTCCAAGGAAACATGTTTTTAGAAATGTTGCTAATTTATTAAAAATTCAAAAATTGAAGTTTCTCCTTTACAAACTTAACAACTCTCAGCTCTGTTCTTTGTATAAGCCTCTTCAGCAGCAGGTACAGCCTCCAGTCTTCTTGAGTCTCTACAAGCTCTGAAATACAGTATAAATACAGTACAAAGCTTGTGATTTAGTCTCTGCAAATTTTAACTGAGCTCGATTTAAAACTCTGGCAGTTTAAAATCTACAGCTTTTCCTTCCTGCTGCCATATGAATGTTTAAGAGCTTTAATTCATATTGAAGTTCATTGCTGTATTCTGTATAGGAACAATTCACCAAGCAGCAAATTCTTCAGTCAAGTGACTACATATAAACCGTTTCACTGATAGCTAAAAAAGCTGACATCAGTGTGCAGCATTTCAAGTTCAGTTTTTAAACATATTTATTAGTCATCTATGCGCCGAGTTCATTAGAAGGTCTCACTGATATACAGACCGTCAAACATAACGTCTCAGCTGGAACACGTGTTCACTGTAGACAACACAACACTAAATTTCCACATTAACTCCGCTGGTTTGGTGCTGGATGAGACCTGTCCTGGTAGGACTCTTCGTGGACTACATCACCCAGAGGACTATCTTACTTGCGGTCATCTGAGCCCTCTGCTCACAGGCCAGACAAACAAGACATGTCCAAACTTCATGTGCTACAGCCTTAACCTTACTAATCACGTTAACTTACAGTGTAGCAGGCGCTGCTAGCTGCTGAGCTACTGTGCCGCTATCGCAAGTGTCTATCTCTCCAGATGTGTCAGCACAGCTGTGTTTGGTGACTGTTGTTAGCTCTGGTTCGCTTTAAACTGCACTGTGTCGAGTTGTGATAGTTAGGACAAATAACCATAGAGAAAATGTGAAATATTCCTCCACCGACACAGCCGCTGTGTTTCTTCCTGCAGGTTAAAGCTGCTGTTACCTCAGTGTCCTGCCTCTCGGCCATGCTCGGTGTAGCATACGGACTGCAGGGAGGTCAACGAGCTCCAGCTGACGAATATTCACTTTGGTTTGTGCTAAACAATCTGTCCCAATACTTGTTTATCACCTGTCTGGTCTATTGAGAAGGACCGTAGACCAGCGTCAGTTCAGACAGGGTAACAACACATACATTTCCCGTCAAACCTTTCAAAATAAAACGTGTTTGCCATACATATAAAAATATAACATCACAGACAAAGAAGAGGTGTGGATTATAAAAGTGATGGTTACTGAATGCCATTTAGCTGCCATTCACTTCCAGAGTCCTGATATGGTATATGCTGTTACATTGTAACACTGTCATGTTTCACTGAGGCACTTAAATAGAGCTTATTGATCATTAATATTATCAGTAACACCTGTATTTTTCATACAAAGATCAGTCAGACTGTCTGGTGGAGTAACCTGTGGATTTTAGCAACATAATCTGTTGAAGGAAACCAGTGAACCTAGAAGGCTCTTATATACTATATTATATACTGTAAACATTGCTAAGCCTATTGTTTCGTAGGAATTAGGGCTGAATGATATACAAAAAAATCATATTGCAATTCTTTTGGCAGATATTGCGATATGAGTAGTGATTTAATTTAGAAGGGTTATTTTTGCATTTCACTTTCCCTGAAAAAAAAAAAGACATTTGTTGGATGTGTAAAAAAAAAAATCATATTATTATCTAACCTTTTACATCTGGAGAATATAATTGTGGGCTCACTTAAAGGATTTCAATTTTCTATTAGTTAAAACGTTTTAGTCTTAAAAAGTATTTATACTTTTATTTTGAAATCATATTTAGTAAACTTCCGTGGATGTTGTTTTTGAGCGGCATGTGATCCGGAAGTGTCGCCGCTTCCCTTTTACGTCCGCAAGAAACAGCAGAAGATTTACTAGAGACAGTTCAGAAATGATCCATGTTCATTTCCGATTATTTCCTGTATCTGTGTCACGTGGGTTTCTCCACCTCCCTGCCCCTTTAGGAGACTAGAAGCAGGTCTGAGTTTATTTATTTATTTTTTTAATTTATTTTATTAATCACATTACATATTCAAAGTAAGGCACAAAGAAGTGGCCCAACAAAATTAATAAAGATAGACAACAAATATGCACAGCGCCAGGGGTTATAAACAACCGTTTGACACAATCAAATACAGATATATATATATTTTAAAGTATACTACAAATTATATTAATATTTTACATTTGGAGAACAGATTGAGGGTTTTCACAGCTTTACTGTTACATGAGGTAGATAATGTTCTGATACAGGGACTCTGCTTCCTTCTTAAAAGTACAAAAAGAGGGTTTAGTTTTTCACACCTTACATTTATGGATATAAAACTTGGCAAGTAATATGATGAGATTGCATAGAAAAAATGTGTTTTCTAGATCTCTTGTATAATTCGTGAACCCAAACAATACATCCTTCAAACAAAGTAAAAAAACATCATAGATAAAGTCCAAAATTAAGCAACAGATGCCTTGCCACAGATTACGGGTGTGTTCACAAGTCTAAAACAGATGGAAGACAGTCTCCAGTTGCATGTCACAAAAACTACAGTTTACATCAATGTCTTTCTTGAATCTTACTAAAAATGATTTGACAGGATAGCAATGATGGATGATCTTAAAAGAAATCTCTTTAACTTTGTTAACTAGTAGAAATCTGTTAGGAAGAGTCCATGTCTTGTCCCATTCTATATCCTGAACAAGACCATTCCAGATTGTGATCACATAAGGAACAAAGATACAACTAGCCTGGAACAAGCTGTGGATATTCCTATTGTTTTGTCTCTTACAGGAAGCAGGCATAAAACACAGTTTTCCAATAGGTGTGTCAACTGGATCAATTGAAGGTGTCACATCAGAAAGTGGAAAAGAATGACCCTTATAGAGCATGATAACACCTGATGGAATGGCATCAAAGACAATAGCAAATTGTTTGGGGCTCACAGGAATCTTAAAATTATAAAGAAATTCTTGGTAACTGAAAAGCTTACCCTCCTTATTGAAAAGTTGACTCACCAATACAATAACATTGTTGAACCAATTGTCAAAAAATAAGGATTTCTTTTTGTAACACACATCCTTGTTGTTCCATATAAAATATCCATTTGGTGAGAAATTGTGCTAATAAATAAGTGACCAGGCCAAAAGTGCTTGCTTATGGAAATTGGAGAGAGAGACTGGAATCCGATCAATATTATAGTTACATAGTAGAACAAATCTCAGACCACCCAGATTGGAAAACACATGAGAAATAAAATTCCAAGCAGAGGTAGGGTCTTTTAAATAATGTCAAATCCAATTAACCTTGAAAGTGTTGTTTAGCATGCCAAAATCAAGAAAATTGAGGCCACCATAATTATAGTTATTTATCAGGACAGATTTTTTTTATGTAATGGGTTTTGTATTTCCAAATAAAGTTATAAAGCAGCTGGTCAATATCATTACAGATTTGTGTGTCAACATCTAAGGAAATAGCAGCGCAAGTCAGCCTGGATATACCTTCTGCTTTAGAGAGGAGTGTTCTACCCTTTAAGGACAGGTCTCTCTGAAGCCACTTTAAGAAAAGGGTTGTGTCATCAGCCAGTTGGCTGATAATAATTTCCCTATCTATAATTGACATACCTTCAAAATCACTACTTTTGATATGATTAGCTAATAACTGGGTGGATAGCAGAAACAAATCAGGAGAGATGGGCCAGCCTTGGCATATGCCATGTTTTAACTCGAATCTGGGAGATGTGCCATTTTTTATTTAATTGAGCTATTTCCATTGGTGTATAAGGTTTTAATTGTTCTGCAAAAAAAGTCACAAAAGCCAAATTTGTTAAGTGTTTTGAAGATGAATTCATGCTCAATTGAATCAAAGGCTTTATAAAAATCCAGGAATAAAAGATGAAGCTTTCATTATTAACTAATTCTGGGTACCAGACTGTGTTTCATATATAATATCATCCAAAACAGCTTTTATTCGTTTAGCAAAAATAATTGCAAAAATTTTGTAATCATTATTTAGGAGGCTAACTGGGCGCCAATTATCAGTAAGTAGCAGATCTTTCTTTGGTTTAGGAATAAGAGTTATTAGGCCCTGTGTTAAAGTGGTAGGGAGAACACCTTTGTCTATACCCTCACAAAATACCTCTAATAAAAAGGGAGCCAGTCCTTTGGAGGAGGCTTTATAAAGCTCTGATGTTATACTGTCCACTCCAGGAGATTTGTTGTTCTGTAAACTACTGATTGTTTCCTCTACTTCCTTAAGAGAGATTGGACGATCACAGAGTTCTTGGTCAGCAGTACTGATTGTTTTAGTATTAATTACTGGATCCAGAAATGCGACAGTGCTATCTTCTCAATAATGGGAGCTATATAGAGTTTTATAGAAGTTGGCACAGAAGTTTCCAATCTGGTTTACATCATCACATACTATGTTCTCTATTCTTAGTTGGTGGATAGTATTATTTTTTGCCTGGGATTTTTCTAACCTGAAGAAATACGCCGAGTTCTGTTCACCTTGTTCCAGCCATCGTCTCCTGGATCTCACAAAGGCCCCTTCAGCTTTAGATTGATAAAGTTTATCTAGTTTGTTTTGATATTCAAATAGTGTCTCTTTTTCTTGTGAGATTTTATCAGGACATATGGAGGACAAGGCAGTTATCATGGAAATTACATTTTCTTCTTCAAATCATTTTTTCTTTGCAAGATTACTGCAATATTTCCTAAAGAATTTACCGACTTCAAATTTTAAAAGTTCCCATTTACTGTCATGTACTCCTTCAGCCTGAGCCTCATTCCAGAAAACTTGTATTAGCTCTTTAACCCTGAGTTTAACTGCTTCATGACATAAAACAGAACTATTAAGTTTCCAGTAGGAGTTCTGTGGACAATTACAAGAGGGGAGTAAAGAAATGTGAACTTGAATGGCCTTATGATCAGTTAAAGGGGTAGAAAGAATTTTAACATTTGTACTATCTTTAAGATTGTTCGAGATTAACCAAAAATCTATTCTAGATTGTCTAGACCTTGATTTATTGCACCATGTAAAAACTCTGTCATAAGGATATTTGTCTCTCCAGTCATCAATCTCTGCATAAGCATTTTTAAATTTGCATTGGCATTAGTTTGAAAACATGGTGGCCACATATCTATTGTGTTGTCCAAAGTAATATTGAAATCACCACCTATAGGTAAATAAGCATTATGGAATCTGGTCAGCCAATAGATAATTCTATTTTCCACATCATGAATCAAATTATTGTTATCAATCACTGTGTTGTATCCATAAATGTTTGTTATAATGAAGTTGGTTTTGTGAATGTGAAAAACCTGACAGATATAGTGACCATTGTTATCGCACTCTGTATGCAGTAAAGCCCCTGTGAAATTATTTTTAAGTGTGCAAACCCCAGCAGACCGTTGCGACGCATGTGAGAAATAGGCCTCATTTCCCCAGAGCCCTCCAAAAATTCACATCATCATTAACGGTATGCGTCTCCTGAAAAAAGCAAAAATATGTTTTACATTGTTTTGCAAATAAAAATAAAGCTGTGCGCTTCAAATGATCTCTTAAACCCCTGGCGTTGAGAGAAACAATAGATAACGACAAAGTTGTATCAGAAAGAAGAACTTAGAAACGTCAGCCACACAGCTTAGGCTCTGAAAACTATATGGTGGAATGAAGCGAGAACAGCTTCGTATTAAAGTACACAGCGCAAAAACGGCTCATGTATAACCAACAAACTCTTAAAAAAAAAATTAAATTAATGAAATAAATGTCAAAAGTAACTTATGGTGCAGGTGTCCTAACTTCTTGCTGACAAGTTGTCATGCTCCTTAACTCAGACTGGAAGAGGAATCTCCTTCTCAATGAAGGCTCGACCACCTACTAAGTAGGCAGTTTTCCCAACCTTTCGTGCTTTGTCCACAAGCGGCCATAACTTAATTGTGGTTTCTCTGTCGGCTTTGCAGAGATCTTCCCAGAAGCGCAAACCGTTGTCTCGTAGGAGGAATTCTTTGCTGCAGCCCACACTGTTGCTCTGTACATGCGAGAGGAGAACTGCAGGATGATGCCTCTAGTACCATTCGGTTTCTTCAGGCCGACGCGGTGCACAGTATCGATAACATCCGGGAGACGTTCAGCATCGGACGGCAGCAGCACCTGGCAGATGCGGATCACTTCGTGGCGAACATTTTTGTCTTCCACTCGCCCGGCTACGCCGTGTAGTTTCAGGTTCCATCGCATCGAATACCTGTCCATCTCGGTGATGCTCGAATCCAGCATAATTGTGTTTTTTTCCCATCAAGAGCAAGTTCGAGTTGGGAAACTTTTCACTTCACTTCTGTCATTTGTCTGCAGACAGTTTCCATTTATCCCCTCAGACTCGTGATTTGGACAGTGTTATTTTGGAGCACAAAGTTTTCAGCTCATCTGATCTGGCATTGATCAACTCTGACAGCGTAGTGACAAGATCAGCATTTCACTTTTACCTTTCTTGACAGGAGGTTTCTCTGGAGTGAAGGGCAGAGAAGGAAAATCCTCTTCATTCATCACAGAAAATTTTGGGGTGTCGTCACGGGTGGCATAGTCGTGGCAGTTATCAATAAGTGCATTAGAAGCACAGACGACAACCTCTATCTCAACCTTCCTCGCAGTGTTTTTTCTCTTTCCACAGGAGCTCGACATAACTTGCTAAAATTATCTTGAAAGTTAAGTAAAACAGTTGAATAACGGAGACGAGTCAATATTACATCCGAAAAAGTATTGTAGCGATCAGAGGGGGGAGTGTTCACTCTGATTGGAACAGTTTGAGCTGGTTAGCGCAAAGGCTCATGGGACTGTTAATGTTTGCAATGAAAGCCATGTTTAGTGATGTTGTGTGCATGTTTAATTGTGTTATGTGAGTTTCCAGGTTATATGGCTTTGCATAGTGTTAAGTTTGATGTTAACTTTAATTATCAGTGTAGCCACCATGACTGAGTTCCCTGGTGTGTTTAATTACCTCTGGCCAGTATTCATGTATAGAGTGGTTGACTCTGATGTTAATAAATAGCACCTCCTGTAGTCGTGCGGTGTAAGGGACACAGGAGTTGTACAAAGCAGAAATCTGTCTCAGTTTACCTTCTTCCACGTGAGCTTGCCACAGTATATTGTCGGTCGTACAAAAGCCGCATCCACGTGTAAATGTCCGATTTGAAAGCTGCACTCGAGATCAAGACCGTTCACAGCGCCATCTTTAAACCCCCCAGGTCTGAGTTTATTCATTCCAATGGGAGAAGTGAACGACATCACAGATTATGACAGATTCTTTCGCTCCATAGTGACTGAAATAAGCTTTGGATCCATTGTTCACAAGCCACAAGTCTTTAGAACATTCTGACATCAAAATGACATTTAACATGAATAGCATACACTACTACAGAGAACAACTGAAAGCTTTTTGGTATTTCTATTGATTTAGATATATGACTCATATTTTTGATTTATTGAGAGGGAGAGAGCAACTATATGAAAAAATATAGGAAATAAACAAATAAGGTCTTGTTTTCCTTTCTTTTCCACCAGGCAGAAAATGGGTACTTGGGGTGAGATTGGAAAGTGGGGGGATAGGGAGCACTGCACGCTTCTCCCAATGCTCCCAATTCTCCCAAGTATTCCAGTACTTTAACTCAAGTAAATGTTTAACTGAACAACTTCCACTTGTATTGGAGTAATATTTGACCAGGAGGATCTATACTCTGACTCCAGTAATGGAGCTGTGAACTTTGTCCACCTCTGGAGACGTGCAGTCGAACAGAGACTGTGGAACATGTGTGTGCGTGTGTGTTAATGAGAGACACTTAAGGAGCAAAAACAGGATTAAACACATGAATCTTAAAATACCCTTCATATAGAATTGTGGGACATATGTTCATCTTCACATGTCTGCAGGATAAGGAACTGAGATTCATAACACTACAACAGGTGGCGATAGTGATTCGTCTGGTTGTAATCCACAAAGAAGAAGAATACAGACGTCGCTTGATGACGTGTCATGACGTCGTGCTGAACGCGACAGAAAGCTGTCTTCTCCACGCTGTATGGTCTAAACTCGTGTGTGTTGATTTGCTTGGTTTAAATCATGGAGACCAAACGCTCAGACTCATTCGGGAAGAAACCTAAACCCGCGAAGATGAAAGACGGAGACGACCCAGTGAAGAACTTCGAGAAATGGAAGAAAAAATACAAGAAGACGCAGGCGCGAGTGAAGCGAGAGAAAGCGCAGAAGAAGAAGCCGGAGTGGCAGGTCGAGAGGGAGTACATCCAGAGGCTGGTTAGCAGGTACCCTCACATCAACACAAAAGAGGCCGTCAAGTTCTCAGACTTCCCCATTTCAAAGAAGACCCTGCTGGGGCTGCAGGAGGCTCAGTATCGGCAGCCCACAGAGATCCAGAGACAGACCGTTGGCTTCGCTTTGCAAGGGAAAGATGTCCTCGGCGCGGCTAAGACTGGCTCCGGGAAGACGTTAGCCTTCCTCATCCCGGTGCTGGAGTGTCTTTACCGGCAGCAGTGGAGCTCCATGGATGGCCTTGGTGCACTCATCATTTCCCCTACCAGAGAACTTGCCTACCAGACCTTCGAAGTCCTGCGCAAGGTGGGCAAGAACCACGAGTTCTCCGCGGGGCTCATCATAGGTGGGAAAGAGCTGAAGAGTGAGTCGGAGAGGATCCATCGCACCAACATCGTCATCTGCACCCCTGGCCGGTTGCTCCAGCACATGGACGAGACGGCCACCTTCCACGCCTCCGATCTCCACATGCTAGTCCTGGACGAGGCGGACCGCATCCTGGACATGGGCTTCGCCGATACACTCAACGCCATCTTGGAGAATCTCCCGAATTCCCGGCAGACGCTGCTGTTCTCCGCCACGCAGACCAAGTCCGTCAAAGACCTAGCTCGGCTCAGCCTCAAAGACCCAGCGTACGTGTGGGTTCACGAGAAGGCCAAGTTCAGCACGCCAGCCACCCTGGAGCAGAGCTATGTGGTGTGTGAGCTTCACCAGAAGGTCAACATGCTCTACTCCTTCATCAGGAGCCACCTGAAGAAGAAGGTCATTGTCTTCTTTGCATGCTGTAAGGAGGTACAGTACCTTTTCCGGGCCTGCTGCCGCCTCAGACCTGGCATGCCCATCTTGGCTTTGCATGGCAAGCAGCAGCAGATGAAGAGGGTGGAGGTCTACAACGACTTCCTCAGAAAGCAGAATGCTGTGCTCTTCGCCACTGACATCGCCGCCAGAGGCCTGGACTTCCCCGCTGTCAACTGGGTGCTGCAGTTCGACTGTCCGGAGGATGCAGACACCTACATCCACAGGGTGGGCCGCACTGCCAGGTACAAGGAGGGTGGAGAAGCCCTGCTGCTGCTGCTTCCATCAGAGGAGAAGGGCATGGTCGGCCAGCTGCAGGAGAAGAAGGTTCCCATCAATAAGATCCAGGTGAGACCCTGTTCATACTCTACATCACACTGTTCTCACAGTGTATGATGTGATGTGACCCAGTGCAGTGCCACTCTACTCTGTGGTCACTTTCTAGGCTGTAGTTTGTGGTGATGTTGTATTGGATTTCTCAAAAACCAGGACATTAAAGTGTTCTCAGCCATTATCTGATTGTTGTGATGCTGTATATTGTCAAAGCACTTGTGGGGATAAAGTAGGTTACTCACCATGTCCAAGACAAACGTTGATAAAAAAAAGCAGAGTGGTTTTGTACCTGACAGCTTCAGGGTCGGTGTCATACAGAACTGGTGGATTATACTTGTAGAGTTTTCTTAGTGTGAGAATTCACAGGAATATGTTTCATAGTGAAGATATTCCGGTCCTTACCTTGTTGTTGCAGCTGTCATCTGTTCTCAGGATTGATGTCAATGTATTTAAAGAGCCAGTCGACTCAAATTTCCAAAGAAACAACAAAATATGAAAAGAAACAAAGCAACAACAAACAAGGTCTCTCTTCTCCTGTGTTACTGATTGATGCTGAGAGGTTGGCTTGATTTGTCCAGGTGTTGAGATTTGTCTCTGAGATTTCTGCCTCATCATCAACAGTTTGTACAGGGACTATTTCTTCAGTAGAAAGTAGTTGCAAGTTTAGTCCAGAGGTCAATGAACCCGTTAATCAATTTTAAATATAGATGTTGTTCCCAGTGCTCTTTCAGCTTTTGCCTGCAACAGATGGAAGAAAATGTTTGTTCAAAGTTGAGATTACACTGAAATGAGACTCCCAGTCCTCTCAGTTCCCAAAGTGGAGTTTGGTCCAAAAGAGAAAATAAAGTTGTCTCAGAGGAACCTGTGGAGGAAATAATAAGAGCACAAGATTCAAACAACATCAAAATATTGTTCTGTAGTGACACTAGTGGTCATATAATCTTCAGGTGCCTTTACCATAAGTAATACAAACAACAACATCAGAGCAGCAGACAACATGTGTACTGACTAATTTCATTGTGTTATGAATTCCAGGTGAACCCAGACAAACTGCAGAGCGTCCAGCAGAAGCTGGAGGCCTTCCTGGCCCAGGAGAAGGAGCAGAAGGAGAGGGCCCAGAGGTGTTTTGTTTCCTACCTGCGCTCCATTTACCTGATGAAGAACAAAGAGGTGTTTGACGTCTTTAAACTCCGGCTTCAGGAGTACGCCATTTCTCTTGGCCTCGCTGTGGCTCCAAGGGTGCGCTTCTTAAATAAAGTTCAGGCACAGAGAGGTGAGAGAGGTGGGCAGAGAGAGGTGGAGCAGCCTGAAGAAGAAGAGGAGCTGAGGAGCTTTAAGGCCCAGCTGAGAGGAAACATCCCTCATGTGGAAGATCAAAACTCTGAGTCTGAAGACTTGGATGATGATGATGATGAGGAAAGTGGTGATGAACAATATGTGGATCAGTCCAGGGCACTACTTCTAGGTTCAGATGACAATGATGATGATGATGATCTAAGAGATTTGGATCTGTTGATGGTCAAAAGAAAGGACGTCTTCAGTCTTACAGAGGACCAGGAGAGTCTGGAGGAACCTTTAAATGGCCCCAAGAAGAAAATGGAAAAAGAGACAAAGTTCAAAGATGCCAAAAAGGTGCTTAAGAGGAACTTCCAAGTCAACACCAAAGTGACTTTTAATGAAGAGGGAGACGCTATGCAGCTGTGGCCACCAGTTCAACGGGCAGTGACTGGTGAAGAGGAGGAAGAGGAGGAGGGTTCAGGTATCAATGTGGAGAAGGCCAGGGAGAGACTGAAAAAGGAAGACCAGGAGTTTGACAAGGATGAGTACAGGCGCAAAGTGAAAGCCAAACACACAGAGAAGAGGCTGAAGGAAAAGGCAGCCAGGAGGGAGGCCAGCAAGCAGCACAGGCAGCAGTCTGACGACGAGGACGAGGTGGTGGCGTACCTGGCCAATCACAGCGATGATGAGTTTGACCCCAGCACCCTGCCGGACCCCGACAAACAGGCCCACGAGGAGGGGGTTGGGGGGGGGCAGTATCAGATAAGGTCCACTAAACGGGAGCACAGCAGTGAAAGCAGTGATGAGGAAGATGAGGAGCTCACAGCAGTGAGGAGGAAGAACGTGAGACAGCAGGATGATGAGCACTCAGCTCTGGACACAGGTCTCTCTCTGGCTGAAGATGAGGATTTAGTCTTACATCTGCTGGGAGGACGGAGGTAGAGACAACAGGGACAAGTCAGAACTTTGTTTAACTGATGAGTTCACGGTGACGGATGATGCTGCCCTCCACAGACAAGGGCTGGAATGACAAACCCTTGACCTGTTAATCTTTATTAACTTTGGCCAAGCAGATGATTTCACTTTGATGTCATTGCTGAGTTAAATGTGTGAATATGTGACGGTGATCAGACTCTGTCACTCACTAACACAGACTGAGGAGCTGCCCATTTAATGTAACTGCAGTTGACCTCAGTGAATTTGTAGCTCAGAGGTTTTGATGATAATTGTGTAAGATTTCTTCTGTATGACTCCTCATCCATTGTCAAGAGCTTCCTGTTTCTCCTCATCATCATCATCATCATCATCATCATCATCATCATCATCATCATCATCATCATCATCATCATCATCATCATCACTCCTCTAACTAATGACATGTATTAAATACTTCTTTTGGAAATTGAGTTGTCATTTCAGTTCTCAGTTCAATGGTTTGATTTTGTCAGCCACTGTCATGAGTGAAGGTCTCCGTCTGCTTCTAATGAACTGATTCATCTAACATGCTGTCACAGTGCTGCACTCACCTGTTCACGGGGAGTTATGGGTAGCTGTGTCAAGAATGAAAAAATAGGTGCTCACTGTCACCTGACCAATCACAGCTCAACGTGGGCCTGGTGGTCACATTGTTGTGTAGAGTTCAGATGCAGTCTCCACTCTGTTCTTCACACACCGTTATGATCCAACAAACACATTGTCTGAAGCACACTGAGGCCTTTACAGAGGAGAAGAACTCTCACTCTCTGAATCACTAAATATTTTCTGTGAATCCACCAGTTAGATCAATCTCCAGAGGATCAGTTGGTTTGTGCACAACCTGTACTGTTTGTATAAAGTATGCATGAATTTATTCTTGTGACTAAATCTGAGAAAAAATATAACAGATAAAATCTCTGCAAACATAGTTAACAGTACTATTTGTGTCATCACCCCATTTGTTTTATGAGCAGCCTGTAGAGTTTAAAGTGAACATGTCTCACCATCCTTCACTCCTCAAAGAGGTCAGGTCACTGCAGGGGCTCATGTCAGCAGGTTATAAAAAAACTGGAAGAAAACCAGTGATGTTCCGTCAACACAAACACCACATTATAATATATTGCAAATATATAATAAAATATATATAAAACAATATTAATAGGTAGTATTATAGGCATCATTAGTGATTCTCACCTGTAGCAGCAATCTTCTATCATTGATGTAGATAACCACTACTGTTTCAGTCTGTATGGACAATAAGTGTGATGCAAAATGAATCTTCAGAAGCAGCAACACAATTTAAAATGTTTATTCAGAACAAAAATAAAGTTACAACAATCACTCTTCGTGCTTGACACAGCAGTCAAAAAACTGTCTTGCTCCACAGGCAAATGAACTTCAACTGAGAGCTACTGGCTATGACGTAACTAGCAACATAACTAAATGAGCATTTCAACATTTTTGCTATTAAGTTACTAAATTTACCAATTATTAATATGGCTCTTACATCACCATTATAAAACTAGAATATCTAGAAAAACGATCGTGCTTCAGCTCAGTCTCCTGCTGCAGTGATGGTTGTTTCCTGAGATAAAGGTTGAAATTTCCATGCTCAAGGAGTCGCAATAAAAAAACTGATATGATTTATCTGTTCTAATCCTCAAGCTTATGAAACAACTGTTCATGAAAAAACATGCATCAGAAAACTAACTACACACTCTGTAAAGGACTCTGGTTCTTGGTCATTTGACTTGATGATTTTACATTTCTACAACCTTGGATGGAGCATCTTGTAAAAAACTAATTTTTACTGTTATTAGAAAATAATAACAGTGTACAGTTCCCCAAATCTCTACTTGAAATAATCTTGAAGTGCAGACAGACATTGTGACAAAAAATCTTAGACAGATTTTGATTATCACCATGAGAACCACTGCCTCTCCCAATACACCTAGTACGACACGCTGTATCCAGCAGGTGGCTCAAAGGTCCATCAACAGAAGTGATGGTAACAGTGAGCAGCAGCAACTCATTCATTCATTAAAACTCAGATCTGTTGATTATATTCTGTCATGATTATTTCTTATAATCTCATGGATATTTACACGTTTTCAGACAGAACAGCTTGTATTGTGTTAACATGTCATGATGTGGTGTAGTGTAGTGAAAGGAGTCGGGCTGCTGGTGTGAGTGAAAGAAGCACAAGAAGAATATGTTGATAAGATAAATGAGAATGTGACAACATGGACAACACATGTCAAATCATACAGAAATCATCACATTAAATTAACCTCTCGTGTCAAACAAAAAGTTTTGATTGTTGAACATGTGAAGCCTTTTACATTTAAAATCTGACTCATGAAAATACAAGTCAACAAAAAACTCTACTAAATGCTCTTCTAGGCGGTGAAACAGCGCCATCTTGTGGTGAGAAACTACCGCTAGTTTTAACCGTACGAGTCAAAGTGAACTCTATTAATCCTTCAGCTCACAGTCAAACATACATTCAACACACAAACACTGGACTGAAATCATCCGTCAATCAGTGTTTCCACAGCTGTCGCTAATCACGGAGGAAGAGGAAACAGCTGCTCTCACGCTGCCACTCAAACACCTCCAACAGGTGAGCGCAACACGTCGCTTGTTCTCCTCGTGGCTCTGACCGATACAGGTGACTTTGTCTCAAGTGTAGCCCTGACGGTAGTAGTCCACCGGAACCAACCCACTGTGTTCAGACTGCGGCGGTGAGACGAGTCGCTCAGCTTACGGCAGGCTACTGGCTCTGTATCGGCTCCTGGTCCACAGCACAAACACTGACCGCTGCTCAGTGAACCAGTCTGTTCATGTTGAGGAAACAACAACATAGACTTCATGTATGAAACTAAAGAGAGAAAAGTCTGTTGTTGACTTAACCCCACCTGTTTGGAAATTGTGTTTCTTCAGTTTGTATGAATCCACCACACCATGAGGTCACAGCAGATAGAAAAAAACTCTTTATTTTTGTTTGTGTGTAAAATCACATTGTTCTTCTCTTCAGAAATTATGGCCAAAAATAACTTGGTCACTGAAGCCCAAAACCTGGAATCCTGTGGGGCAGTGGGGGATGGAGACTCTGCTCAAGTCAAAACAGGTCAGTACCCAGACAAATGTGGAGTCATCTCTGCGGTGCAGCACCCACCCACTGCTGCAGCTGTCTCAAAGACTGACTCTGCCCCTGCCCCACCTAAAGTCCTCCCCACTGGTCGGAGCCAGCAGCCTACATCAGTTCCAGGGCCTCAGACGTCCTCTCCCTCTGTCATGGTAGCAAAGGTAGCCACCCCAGGAAGAATCAATGCTAACAGACAACTACAGGTAACAAAACCTGCTCTGAGCCAGGTGGCCCCCATGAACCAGGCCACGACCCCAGGGAGGACGGTGGTGATAACTGTACCCAGGACAGCAGCTCCACAGCCAGTTGCCGTAGCCCCTCGCCTGCCACAGACCACTGCCTCTCAACTCCCAGCCAATATCCACATACCCCCAGGTGAGCTCCAGCAGGCCTCTGTCTAGCAGGTGAGTCAAGAGTGACTGACGAGTCCTGACTGTTGATGACTGTATTCATCTAAGTCATAGCTACAGACTCAGCCACTGTCACATCTTGATTTAGTTCTCTTTATATTAAATCCAGTGTATGTATTACTGTTTATATGGAGCTCTGAGTCATTGACAACAGGTCTGAGCTATGGTTGGTCCACAATGAACATACATGAACTTTACCTAGAATCCTCTTTGACAAATCATCAGTTCATTAGAGCAGTAAGTGATTTAGGTCCTAACTGTTGCAGGTATGATGTTGATCCGCAGTGACAGTGGACAGTTGATGCTCGTATCCCAGCAAGCTTTGGCACAAGCTCAGCAGGGACCAAGAGTTGCCAGTGGTCAAGCACCCAGAATTCTGACCCATAAGGTGTGTGTGTGTGTGTGTGTGTGTGTGTGTGTGTGTGTGTGTGTGTGTGTGTGTGAGAGAGAGAGTGTGAGAGATGTCTGGAGTTCAGGAGCCGGTTGCACAAGACACCAAGTTTTCTGCTTAAGTTTGACATTTTTGTTTTTATTTTTTTTTTATATGGAACAATTTATTTATTGAATTTTTCAAGGGGTAAAACATCAAAGATATTGAAAGAGAGAAATAACATAAAACAAATAATTGAAAATAATAATAATAATGAAATAAATGTATGAGAAAAAATGTACATGTTAAAGTAATCCCTTCGGCCAGTCACTCCAACCAGACAGGAGCCATTACAAAGGTACAGAAATACAGGTACCAGAGGAGTGAAAAAAAATTTAAATAAAGATAAAAGATAAAAAAAGGGGGGGAGCATTTAGTGATGTTATCACAAATTCCATACATTGGTACAAAAATTCAACATATACATACATATACTGATGCCGATGTACCTGTGTCAAGTATATCTTGATGTCAGCCCACAGCAGATTGTGAAATATTACCCATGTAGCTACTAGCTACTAAAATCAGCCCAGCATTTATCATAGAGATGTGGTTCTCTTCTCTTTTGAGGTTAAACATTATTTTTTCTGATGCCTTGTATAGGAAATTTCTTTAAACCACATAAAGACAGGGGGAGGGTCTTTACTATTCCATGACAAAGCGATGCATTTGTTGCCAATAAACCACACCTTGTTTCCTTTGGTGAGAGGGATGTCAGATATGTCGCCTGGTAAGGCTAGTATAGGTAAACCAGGGATCTCAAACCCAGTAATCTCTTTAAGAATCTCCAATATCAAGCCCCAGTAATGTTTACATTTATTACATTTCCAGAACATGTGAATAAGGTTACCTATCTCTATTTTACATCTTGGGCAGAGCTCTGAGATTGATTGATTTATCCTATGGAGTCTTTCTGGTGTGAAGTAAGTTCTGTAGATAATATTAAACTGCTGTTTAATATTGTTAAATGAGAAGGTAAGTGCCTTCTCACATAGCGATTCCCAGTCCCCATCATCAAAAATTCAGTCCAGATCTTGCTCTGGATTTGGGTGCAATGTTTAGGGGTTTGGTTTCTGTGAGAGCCAATATTCTATGTTGAGGACAAAATCCCTCAGGGGTGTTTGATATCTTTTTAGGATTTCATCAATCAGGAGAGACTCATGTAGTGGGTTTTCCTCCTCTTGTTTCGACAGGAACTACACTTCAGGCAGAAACTCTGTGAATGATGTGGCACTGCTGTTCTGTAGACATGAAATTCCTCACTTAAAACTAACTGCAAAGGTCCTCCAGGATAAAACTGTCGAGCAATCATTAATGACAAAGAAGCTGAAGGAGCGCAGCTGTGGAAAGTAGACAGT